TACTTATACCGCAAATATATATTCTTAAGGACATCAAAACCTAAACTAAAACTCCAGAAAGGTGTAAAATATGGGACCTTTAACATGAAGGAATTTTCTTATTCCTTAATATAGATTTTTTTTACAGGTGTTTAACATGTGTTTTGAATTTTGCACTTCAGTTTTACTGTTAACAGAAATGTGTGTTACTGGATAATTTACTAGCAGAGAATTACCAGTGCACTTTTTAGTATTATTTACAGTATGTATATATATATATTTTTTTTTTTTTTCATTTAGTTTTAGTAATTTCATTATATGCTTTTGACATTTTTGTTCATTGTTGTTTTTTCAATATTTCTTTATAGCTTTATTGTAGAATACTATAATATTCTGTATAGGTTTTTAATATTTCTTTATATTTCTGTTTTAGTTTTAGTAGTTTTAGAAGTTCAGCTTAAACTAAATTAAGAAACTTTCCTTGGCAGCCAACTGATATTACTGCAGTTTTTTTTTTCTTAATTATATATATTTTATTTTATTTCAGTTTTATTTCAATTACTGAAAACAGTTTTTCATGGTTTTAGTTAACACTAACAACAATGCTGAGAAAGTCTTTATTGATTTCAGTGGTTTGTTACGCCCTCTGGTGGCCAAAAGTTAAAGATAATTTTATTTTACATTGAATTGCTTCTGAAATTGTATCAATTTCTGAATGTGTACTTACTTACACACTTAAAACTGCAGTTAGATACATGTGAATCTGCAAGCACTGTTTATGTCATTAGTGTCTTTATTCAATTGTTTTTGGTTTATTGCTTGTGATTGATTTTTCTTCATTATTTTATTATTAACTGTTAACTTAATTATTTGAATTATTACTTAATTGGAAAAATAAGACTACATGCATTTGCTTCTTTAGTTTATATTAAATTTATATAAAAATATTTAATATTACTAGAGAATGGATGGATAGATATGTTTAATAATAATATTATAAATTAATGTTAATATTAAAAATATTAAACACAAAATAAATAAATATTAAGTAAATATAAGTATTTAATAGCATATTGGGTCTTATTGTTGTATTGAAATTGAAATCAGAATTGTGTAATTTCACTGGTTTTGATCTCAACTGCTGAAATCAGTTAATCAGTTGTTGAAACCCCTGTGACGTCATCACTCTTTACCAATAATCAATATTTCTCAATGCTTACAGCTGAACCTCTTCACCCAGTCGAGCATGAGGATGCCGGACTCTCACAGCTTCAACAGCATCCTAAATCAACCCACACGCTATCAGGCAAGGCCAGCATCATCTCTCTCTCTCTCTCTTTCACTCATATGATTAATCATCACTGCAGATTTCACCCTTATCGATTTCTCTGATTTTCACTTTGTCTG